GGCTCAGAACTCTTTCCTGGCCCCCAGAGCACGGTCTCAAGGTGAATGAGCCACAGTGGCTTCTACTCTGGATTAACGAACTCAATGTCATCGCTATCCTTAGTCAAAACCATTCTTTAGAAAATAAAAGGCAGATCTGGAAAATGTTCATAGTTTCTAAATGTCTCAAAGGTCAAACAAACTCCAAGTCTCCGAACTTAAATTCAGGTCTGATGCTATTCCTGCAGGTTTTATAATGATGTTCAAGAAACAGAAACTGAGCCTTGACTGTTTCAGGAACCACCAAATGCCACTGGTTACTTAAATAAATACAGAGAATACTGGGATCTGAAGTTACGAAACTAACTGATGATAATAATACTAAGCTGTACTTAGTGCCAGGCTCTGTTCTAAGTCCTTGATACATATTAACTCATTGAGGGGGGGAAGAGAACAGAGAAATCTGAGACCCTGGAAAGCAGAGAAGTATGTAAGTGGGGATAATGCTGAATATAAAATTGTTACTTAATATTAAAGCTTTGGTAATACTTAATAACAAACCACAACCATAAAATGCTGCTAAGACGTCTCATGGGAATGGACCATAGTGTGTGTGACTAGATGACCCGGGCCCCCAAACTGTGAACAATTTTCAACCCAGCGAAGAAATACCTATTAGGACCGTCTACCATCTATGGAGAACCTGTAGCAGTTAGGGCATAAATATGTTTTCTCTGAGAACGTAGAAAAGCATTAAAAACCTCTAAAGTCAGAGCTTAATTGCAGCACAACATGTCAAGTAGGTTAAGGAATGAAAAATCACTCCGCAGTTTGTACGACAGATCTCAGACTACTGGACTAAAGAAAACAAGAACCAAACTGGACTTTTCTCTAAATATCTGGTAGTAACACACTTGACAGGGGTCCCTATGCGCAGACAATAAGTATGTTGTGTTTTTTTGTTTTTTTTATCCTCACCCGAGGACATTTTTTCCTTTTTTTTTTTTTTGTACAGATAGAGTGGGAGGGAGAGAGAGGAAGGGAGAGAGAGAGAGAAACATCGACATGAAGGGACACATCGAGTGGCTGCCACCCGCACGACCAACCAGGGCCGGGGACAAACTGCAACCGAAGTACGTGCCCTTAGCGGGAACCGAACCCGGGTCTCTCCGGACCGCAGGCCGACGCTCTAACCGCTGAGCCAAACTGGCCAGGGCGACAATAAGTATGTTGAGAGAAGATTACCAAACAGGAAGACTGCTAAAAGAATTTAATAGTTTCTTTTCATCTACCAGAAAACTGCCGCAAATGCATCACTGTTCTAGGTTTTCCAGAGAGGAGCAAAGCAAAAGATACACGAATTCTTCCTGTTTTACCTTCGGAAGCAAATGACTCAATGAAACTGATTTCATGAAGCAATGACTGGCCTGCTCCCAAGGCCAACACAGGGACTGGGCATGCGTCAGAAAGATCGGATTAAATAATACTAAACAAACGCCACGCCACCCTCAACTACAGCCACAAGTCGAGTAACCCTTTTCTGACTGCAAACACAGGTCCCGGAAGTTTAAATTGGAAGAGAAACAGAGATGAGGGCACTGATGAGAAGCTAAGTCAAAAAGCGAGTTCAGAGACAGATCCAACATGCTCTACCCTCACTTTGCAGTTAATACGACAGCCCTCAAAACCAAGACGACGACTTAGAACACAAGCCCATTTGCTTTTTCTTTCTCTTCTCCACCGAAACACAGTCTCCTCTAGGCCAAGGGCCCACTGCCTGTTTTTGTACAGCCTACGACAAAACCTAAAAGTAGATCGTGGATTTTTACATGACAAAGAAAATGTGAAAAAGGGGTATTTCATAACACTCAAATTTTAGTGTCTATAAATGAAGTGTTACTGGAACACAATCACACTCTTGTTTAAATACAGCCCATGGCTGTTCTCACGTGGTAACAGCCACGTTGACTAGTGGTAACAGAGACTCTATGTCCCAAAAAGCCTGAGATATGGACTATCCGTTCTTCACAAAGAGAGTTGGCGAACTTCTGTCTCCTGACCTAGGGAAAACCTACACAGTGAATACGGCGTAAGAAGAAGCTACCTTGGGGGGAGGGGGGGTGGAGCACAGGAACAGACTAATGTGTCCATGTTTTACCCTTTCCCGACGGAGCAACAGGCCCGGGAGGTAACTGGTCGACTCCACATCATTACAAAACACTGTGAGCACAAAACATCTCCACTGTTTAGACCTGACAATCTTCAGGAATTGAAGGTTCCCTTAACATATGTTTTCTCCAACTGTATAAAGTTTCAGCTACTACAAGGCACGAGGCATCGGTACCCACCCCCCCAAATCCACCAATTACATGGTTCTACCCTTAGAATGTATCCACTGGTCTCAGAGCCTGGGAGAAGTCAAGAGGACGATTCCCGGTGTGTAAATCCCAGGTCAGAATCCAACTCGGTGCTCGCATTCTCGCTGGGCCTGATCCTAAACTAGTCACGTCACTCTCTGTACGTCTCATTCTTTTATTTTATCTACAACAACGAGGCATGCTGGCCAGCCAGAGGAATATTACCTTCTCAAGGCCGAAAACTAGAGGGGAAAAGTGAACGGGAAAGCGATGAGGGACTTTATTTTCAAAGACAGTTTTGTTCTCTGTAACAGACGAGATGTAATGATAGAGATAATCATTCTCTCCTTGAAAAGCAGAGTCTGTGGCTGAGCATCGGCTGTATTCGATGACACCAACCCCTGCCGTGTTTAGGATGGGAGGCTAAGAAACAGAGGCATTTGAATTCAAGGATATGAGCTCGTTCCTCCTCTTTTTTTAGGGGCTTCTGGAAACAAAGACACACGTACCCATGCAGGGTGTGTTCCCTTTTTTTCCCCCAGAGGCAAAGGCAACATTTGTCTGAATAATGCCTGCTCTGCAAGCAGCCACCCAGCCATTAGTCATGAATATTATCTGTAACAGGGAGCGGGTTGAACAGCCCGCACCTCCCTAGCCATGCACTCCAATGAAATGAGGCTTGTTTATCAGAGTTCGTACACTTGGAACAGTTTGGGAGGGTGCAGGGCTGCTTACCTCCCAGTGTGACTGTAAGAAAATACACGACTTAGCCCTGTGAAGAACCGAAGCAGGGCACCGTCCAGTCCAGACAAGGAAGACTGATTTTTCTGAGAAGCAGTATGATTTAGTCCAGTCACCTGACTTTCAGATTCCAATAGCTGGTTTGTTTGTTTTTTCTTAAACCAGCGTGGAATCTCAAATTGAAAGCAGTGTTTCTCTCTACAGGTTAAAGTTCCCTAGTTTAAAAGTTCATAGCTTTAAAAAAGAAGAAAAGCATTTAAAAATGTACTGAATATTAACTATAGAAGTGCCACATGATCCAACAAATCCACTATGAAAACATGTCCAGAGACTTGTAAACATGTGTTCACAATGGCCAAAAAACAACCCAAACGTACAACATGCTGTGGCATATCCACAGAATGGAATATTACTTAACAATATAAAGAAATGAAATACTGATCAATGTTACAACATGGATGAACCCTGAAACACTACTCTCAGTGAAATAAACCAGTCACAAGAGACCACATACTAAGTAATTTCATTTATATGCAGTTCCAGAATGGGCAAATCCATAAAGACAGAGAGAAGATTAGGGACCACCAGGAGCTAGGGAGATAGGACAGGTGGACTGCGAATAAATGGGGGGTTTCTTTTGTGGGGTGATGATACTGTTCTAAAATTAGACTGATGACCATTGCACAACTCTGTGCATCTATTAAAAATTACTAACTGTGCTGGTGGGAACACAGACTGGTGCAGCCACTATGGAAAACAGTATGATATTTCCTCAAAAAATTAAAAATGGAACTGCCATTTGACCTAGTGATCCCACTTCTAGAAATATATCCTAAGAAGCCTGAAACACCAATCAGAAAGAATACATGTACCCCAATATTCGTAGCAGCACTATTTACAACAGCCAAGATCTGGAAATAGCCGAAGTGTCCATCAATAGAATAAATGGATAAAAAAGCTCTGGTACATGTACACAATGGAGTACTATGCAGCTATAAGGAGGAAAGATCTCTTACCCCTCAAGACGACATGGAGGGACCTGGAGAGTATTGTGCTAAGCGAAATAAGCCAGCCAGAGAAAGACAAGTATCACATGATCTCACTTATTTGTGGAATATAAATAAACAAAATAAGCTGACAAATAAAATAGGTCCAGAGACGTAGAAGCAGGGAACAGACTGACAGGGTGGGAAGAGATAAACCAAAGAACTTACATCACATACGCATAACCAATGGACACAGACAACAGTGTGGTGAAGGAGGGGGGGGGAATGTCAGCTGGGAGGGTAGAACAGCTGTAATACTTTCAACAATAAAGAATTTTAAAAAGTAGGAAAACACCTACTACACTGTGCACTTGACGTTAATGAGTAGATTTTATGGTATGTGAATTACATCTCAATACAGCTGTTATGAAAAATTACATCTCAGTCAAGCTATTATGAAAAACATTTCTACAGTAATATTAAACATTTCTACAGTAATATTAAAACGCCACAGATAATATTAAGCCATAAGTTAAAATCTCAATTTTGCTGCTATCAGTTTCTATATAAAGAAAAAAAAAAAAAGTCAGGTTTAAAAAGGACTAACAGATCCCTTTGGTGGTAATTCTCATTCAGTGACACGTTCAACTTGATGACAAACTCAAAGGTCGTGTGTTCACAGGGAAAATCTTTTTCATTAGCACCTCCAAGGGATCCACTCGGGAAGGCCCACGACAGAACACTGCCACGCAGTGCACACCATTTATGAAAGTTTAACTGCAACAAATATCCACATTTTTATGTACTGGAACAAGACAGAAGGGGGAAAGGTACTACTGTGAAAAAAAAAAATCCCCCCAAAAAACAAGGCTGTAAATCAGACACACCAGACCACGCTGAACCCAGTCTGTGCTGGTATGGACTGGAGGCCACTTACCGCCTGGGTCTTCGGGCCCTGTCTCGTCCCCTGGGGCGTGGTCGCTGTGCCTAGGGCCACGTCTTCAGCAACGGAGCTCTCCCTGGAGTAACTCCGAAAATCCACTTCGTCGTCAGCTTTTGTGTCCGGCATTTCTGAAGAGAACACGGAGGTTACAAAGTGCATTTGAAAAATTGATTCCTTACTATTTACAAAACATGCTCCAGGTTCCATGGGTTTGGGGGGCTGAACGGAAAAGCCTTCCTCTGCATTTGGGTGGCATTTCTAAGCCTGTGTGAGCTGTTCCCTGACTGCACGGCCGTGTGGTCCTCTCTGGCCTTCCTATGGGTCTGTAGCTAAGGGAAGATCCAATTCAACGTCCACTGAGCTTCCATGTTCACTACTGACTTTTCATGACAAATCTGAGTGTGGTGCTGACTTCAATATGGAAAGAGTCAAGTCACATGTTCCCAGGTAACGGATTAACAGCTGACGCTACGTGGGCCATCTTGACATCATCCAAGAGGCAAGACGTTTGCATTTGTACAGGGCAAAAAAAGAATCACTGAAAATGAGATAAACAAAACCTTCAGGAAGAGTCTTTCTTTAAAAAAATACTATACACTCATTTACCCAGAACTGCAATTGGTAAGACTGAACTATTGTAGTGAATTAATCTGTTTCAACTTTTGTTTCTTCCCAAACCAAGACATAATGACAAACCAGCAATTTCTCTCCCCACCCCCCACCCCCCGCCACAGAAAAATGTTTTTACATGTCTTCTTTAGAATTATGCTCAACACAGACCAAACAGCAGTGGCTTTTGTTACCCAATCGCCACATGGTCAAGCAAATACAGGAAGGAAGTGATAAAATGATATCTGAAGCAAATTTGGGCTTTGGTACTTCTTTGAAGGGGACCGATGATGAACAGCCGAAATTCACTTTGAGAATCAAAATACAAGTGGAACTATCTTCTCAAATTCACGCTGAAAATTTTCTGTGGTTGTTATTAATCTAGTCATGCCACTACTCTGGCAGAGAAGTCTGTTCCCTACACCAAACAGCGGAGAAGTTTCTTTCACTAAAGAATACATTATATTAAAATTTTGTTCTGCTAGAACATTGTGACATGTACAAAGGCCTACTTTTGATTTAGGAAAGTTACATTTCTATAAACAAACCTTTACAAATCTCTTCTTTATAGTCTGTCTGGCGATTGGAAAAGAGGCAAGCAAATTCAAAGAACCAAAATCTGTCCTCTATTTTTTAAAATGTGATTAAATGTAAAAATCCTTGATCAAGATATTTCTAAGTGAGTCAGAGTAATTTTTTTGTTGTTGTTGTTGAGTTTTATTTGATCTACTTGGGGCTGTGATTTTTGGCACAACCTTGCTATCCATACCCATCAAGTGCTGGTAAGCAGCGACCAGTGACAATGGTCAACAGTGGTTACTGAGACTTGCTGGGGGTGAGCCACCGCTGCAGGACTGGCTTGGCTCAGTCATGGGCACCCAGCTTCCGCACACTCTGTGACCGGTGCTGCTGGTGGCCAAAGGACCACATTCTCTCTTTCTAACTGGAAACCGTGCGTTTTCCCTGTTTCAGTTTCAATTTGGCTTCCTCTACATCAGCCTATAAAAACAGAACCCAGTGCCACGGGGCTCCTTCCAAATCAGCAGTGTCACGCATGTCCCCTTGCTCACGGAACAGGACGAGCATGCTCATGAATGGAATCTAAACTTCCTAGAAAATACCCTTGGTCTGAGATCACACTCAGGTGCTTGTTTTCCAGGGCAATGTGACCAGGGACTTCCCCCGACCCTGGCTATTTTCTGAAGAAAGCACAGATTTTGATCACCGGCTACTTCTCCCTGTAATCTGAGACCGTGAGCACTGAGAACGAGTGACTCTGCTCAGTAGCAGAACCAGCAACTCGCCCACACGGATCAACCAACCCAAACCCAGAGATACTGCTGAAAAGGCGTTCACTTCCCTCCCCTTTGCGAAAACCTTAAAATCGTAGCATTTCTTTGCTTCCTTACTATGTTTACGTGCTAATAAATACCAAAGTCTGAAAGTCTCCCTGGTTTGCCCCTTTCCTCATAGGGGGCTACAGACACAAAGCTCGCACAGTTCACATCGGCTTGGTGAATTCTGACTGAGCCAGAAAGAGGAATAATTCCAGCCCATGTGGCCAAAGACACATCACCCAAACGAAAGGGACACAGCCAGGCATCAGCTTACAGCCATCCCCTTTCTTCTAAAATGTCAATCTGCCAGGCCCCCAAAATAGACTTGTTGTCGTGCCTGATTTCAAAAATTAGAGACCTTCTCGTATAAATCCTGAGATGGCAGCCAACAAATTTCTATCACTAACAATATAAAACATTAATAAAACGAAAATCCTATCATCACCAAAAAATGCTACTACAGGTTTCTTAAATCCCTCAATCGGGTTAAAAAAGATTATACATGGTTTAAAAGGCTTAATCGGGGAAAATGACAATTGTTGGTGCTGCCCTATTGCCTAAGCAACTTATTTTCTGGTTCTATTTGTTCATTACTCTACACACCCACCCCCACACTCTTAACTTGCACTGCACTTAAAGGGATTTTCAAAAACGAGGAAAAAAACATCTGAAATACAATCAAACGAGACAACAGAACAGGCTAGTTCTTACCTACAAACGCCTGGGGGCAAGCATGGAGACAGGTCCTCTGCCTGGACCTGGTAACAGGTGGCGGTTTCAAAGCGAATCTAACTGACCTTGAAGGATGTCAGGCGTGAGCACCGAGTCTGACTCGGGCCTCCGCTCGCGGTAGGGAGTTTTGTTCCGAGAGCTGGTTTTCACCGAGCAGGAGCGGTTTCTCTTTGCTCTCTCTGGACATGGAGCAGGCTGCTGTGTGAGCAATCAGCTCGGTCCAGCTGCTTTTACCGAGATAAGCAGACACCACGTGTGCCCGGTGACAGCAGCTCGGCAGACTGGGCTGGGGCGGAAATCCTGCGAGCTCCCTGCACGGTGCAGGGCCCTGCATTCCCAGACTGCCGCCCGAAAGCTGCAGGCCCTGGGACGGGAGGTCTGCTCCTGGGGCAGGAAGAGGAGGGAGGGCCCTCCCCCCAACCCTCGCCAGTGACCTAATACCACCATTCGGGCTGCCGGGCCACTGGCTTAGAATGATGCTCAGAGCTATTCATGAAACCACACTGCCTCTAAATTTGTTCAGGCCACAGTCTAGGGTGACAGGGAAAAGGAGGAGTTTCGGGCTGATGAAGAACACACACACTGTTTGGGATGGCTCTGGAGAAAGGGACTAAGCCGTACGAATAAAAACACCTGCCGAATTCCTATACCACTTTAGGGCACCAGCCATCCAGCGGACCTGGCGCTCCAGGTTCAGATGGCTGCACGCGCTCTAACAGAGCACTTGAGACTTAAGCAATCGGGCCTGGAGCCTATAAAACAGGAAGCAAAGTCTGTTCAAGCCCGGGGTGATGTGCCTGCTGCCAGTGGTTGACTATTAACTTGACATCTTACCTAATGAATGCAAAGCCTCTGCAAACAACACAGACACCGACATTTCTACCAGCACCTCAGACATTCTTTAGTGGAACTTTTGTCTCTCAAGCTGCTAATTTTGTATTCTGCTTTGCTCACCGCTTGCTGGCTCGGGTCCTGGAACAGGCTGGAGTCTGTCCTCCGGCTCCTCTCCCCCAGCAGAACGCCCTGCAGGGATCGCGGGGACTTCTTCGCGAGTACTGCCCAGCGGTGGGGTCTCCCCAGGCGGGAAAGCAATCCCCTTCTGGGGGGAAGCGCTCTCCAGCTGTTCAGCCCCTGGGCCTGACTCTGAAGGACGAGATGGTGACATGTGACTGACTTCCCCCTCGGCGAGCAGGGTGCCCGAGGCCTTGACTCGTTCTATGACGGCATCCACTATCCGGCTCGCAGCCTCCTCGATGGAGTCCGCCCTCTTAGGCAGATGCCTGGCTTGGGAAGACACAGCGTAAGGTAGGGGGGCAGCACCCCTGTCCCTGCTCGGGGCCTTGTCACCGCTGGCTGAGAGTCCTGTCTCTGTGGGGGACTCTTTGGCAACGGGCTGCTGTAGGACATGACGTGTGTCATCCTTCATCTGTGCCTCAGAGTCGCCCACGCTACAGCTGGGTTGGGCTCCCTCCAGCTTCCCTTTCTCCCAACCCAGGGGCACCAGCTCTGGGGGCGCGGCCCCCTGGAAATCAGTCACACCTTTGTCTGCTAAAGCTCCAGGCAAAGCCTTGATCGTATTCTCCGGGTTCAACAAGACTTCCGGAGTCGGGCGTTCCTGGGCGTCGCATGATAAATCCCTCCTCCTGGCTTCAGTAGTTCCTTGTGGAGGATTAACCACGGCGACATCCAGGGCCCAAGTTCCACTCACCGCCCCAGCAGGGGCCTGGCCCCGGGCTGGAGTGCTTTTCACGCCAACCGCCAGAGCGAGAGGTCCACTGCAGTGAAGAACCTCAGCCCCGCCTGGAGGGGGACCTGGCGGGGGGGGGCTGCTCTGCTCTGCACCCAAGGCTTCCTGGCTTGGATCTGCAGCCAGACTCGCAGGCGGTGGCACCAGGCCCTGGGCTGCCCCACCTTCAGTCAGCACAGAGACTGGTGGGGCCACTTCCTTGTTATGTTCAGCTTCTGCGTTCAGACAGGCCGAGGGTGTGCCCCGTGAGCTGCCATGTTCCAGTGCTTTGTCCTTGGTACAGGCAGCTGAGCTGGGCTCTCCCTGGACGCCTGGCAGCGCCTGGCCAGGAGGGCCTGTTCCCTGCGCTTCCTGCCGTGTCCCTGAAGGAAGCGTGTCTTCCTCCACAGGGGAACAGGCCACCACTATGGATCTGTCATCTTGTCCCTGAGCTGCGGGGCTTTGTGGAGCCACCAGGTTTTTTCCTTCTGCGGTCAAATTGGAATCAGAAGCCAAAGGGGCCTTACCCACGTGTGGCAGGGAAGAGTCGGTGCCCCCCTCAACATTCAGACCTTCAGGGGCTGCTGAGAGGCAGGAACCCTCCTGCTCCTCACCAGATCCTACGGGACTGGTGTTCCCCATGACCGGCTGCAGATCCAGGGCAGGGAAGGATGGGGACCGGACTGCTGCCCGGTCTTCTAGTGGCTGCTGACACAGATCGCTCCCACCTCCGCCATCTCTACAATCTGCAGCTGCGTGTGGTTCTGTCTCTGCTGTTCCCTTTTCTTTTTGGGAGGGGACAAGAGAAAGTGCGTCATCTTCTGTTCCTGATTCACTGCCTGGACTGCCTTCCAGAGAGAAAGTCCTGCCTGATGTCACTGCCTCGTCTGGTTCTTTCTCTGCTTCGGGGGGAAGAGCATGTGGATGCGGAAGCACCTCGAGCTTATTTGTTAAAGACGTTGCTAAGTCCGAACCTCTTGCTTGGCCCTCTTGGTCTGCAACTCCGAGGGCACAAACACCCACATCTTCCTGGGTGGCTCCTACAGGGTCAGGGGTGACCGTGTCAGCCTGTGGGCCTTCCGGGCAGACGGCAGTGGGTGGAGGCTGTGGGTCGGGCAGTCCTGGGGTGTCTCCAGGCTGGGTGCCTGTGTCATCGTGACAGTCTGCAGCCACCGCACCCCCAGCAGTCACTGTGTTCCGCCGACACGCAGAGGCGGCACGAGGTTTTCCCTCTCCGCCCGCAGGGCAGGTGGGTGACGGGCCATTCTGGTTCTGAAGGCGAGATGAGCGCGTTTCTGGTTTCTGCTCTGGCGGAACATCCTTTTGTGGCCCAGTGAAGGTCAAGTCAGAGGGCGACACTGCCCCACGCGTGCTGGCTAGAGGAGCGTCCACTGCGCAGCCATCGGGAACCTGGTCACCTGCAGCAGCTGGTGCGCTGAGAAGGTTCTGATCTACCGCGGCACCAGCACCCCCTTTACAGCGCCCTGAAGTTTCAATTTTTCCAGCAGGCGTTTCTCCATTACTCAGTGCAAGCAGGGACTCAGGAGGGGTGTCACCATCCAGGGGGCTGGGGGCAGAAACGCAGTTTGGAACAACGGCTCTGCCCACGGGCTTCCTCGTGTCTTTCATGTCAGAGGCCCCGGCCGCGCCGCCCTCCGAGATCTCAGGTGTTTCCTTCGCGCGTCCCCCTACTTCGAGCCCCCGCTTCTGGGCGGTGGTTTCTGGGTTCACGAAACCACGTCCCGCCTCCTCTCCCGTCTCTGGGCCACTGGTGTCTATGGGTGAACTGCCTGCAGGTTCATCTGCAGAAACACTCTGGGCGGTGCCTGGGTCCAGGACGGTGACTGCCGGTGGGACAGCATCGCCACCGCTCAGAGACGCCTGCACTGCGGACGCGGCAGCGGGTTCTCTTCCAGTTTCTTCAGCTCTGACTTCACGGGACGGAGGGCCTTCTGCTCCCGGTCCCCCACCATCAGACACGCTCTGAAGGCGGCTGTGGGGACCAGACACAGCCTCGGAGTCCAGGGTCGGTGCCGGCCCCGCCTCTTCCTCTTTTCCGTCCACGCCTCCGTTTGTCTTCCTGCAGCAACAGTCTGTGGTCCCTGCTGCGCCTCCGCTGGACAAACCAGAGGGACACGCGCTCTGCCCCGCAGCGCTCCCGGGGCGGCGCGGAGAGCTCTCGGCGTCTGCGGGAGGGGACGAGCGCGGCTGGCCCTCCGCGAACACGGCTGCACGGGGCAGAAATGTGCCGTCTGCGTCTTGGCCAGTGGGCAGACCCGAAGGATCCTCTGCTGTGACCATCGAGGGCACGAGACCGTCCATCTGCTTGAGGTTTGTTTTCTAAGAGGAGAGGAAAGATATTGTTAAACAGATTGCTCATGGGAAAAGAGGTCACTGCCACTGACACACAAAAATCCTGCGGGCGCCCTGGCCGCTTCGGCTCAGCGGTTGGAGCGTCAGCCTGCGGACCAGAGAGTCCCGGGTTCGGTTCCCACTTGGGGCATGTACCAAAAAACAATAAAAAATAAAAAAATAAACTGAATAAATAAAAGTCCTGCTGGCGAGATCTCACTACCATTCCAGCCCTTTTGAGGACATACGATCAGCTGATCTAAGAAAACACAAATAGCCCTGGCCGGTTTGGCTCAACGGTTAGAGCGTCGGCCTGCGGTCCAGAGAGACCCGGGTTCGGTTCCCGCTAAGGGCATGTACCTTGGTTGCAGTTTGTCCCCGGCCCTGGTTGGTCGTGCAGGTGGCAACCACTCGATGTGTCCCTTTCACATCGATGTTTCTCTCTCTCTCTTCCTCTCTTCCTCTCTCTCCCTCCCACTCTATCTGTATAAGAAATGGAAAAATGTCCTCGGGTGAGGATTAAAAAAAAAAAAAAGAAGAAAAGAAAACACAAATACATTTTCTCTTGTTCCTATCTTCAAATGACCAACTGAGATTTTTTTTCTAAGGTCTGTAGAAGGGCCGAAGGCTGCTTCTATCCTGCCTCACGTCTACGAGTAAAGACACATCCTCACCAGCTGGGTAAACGCTTTCATCACAAGGTACCGGCAGAAGGCCCTGTGCCCTGAATCCTCACTGAGGAGTTCCACAGTGGCCCTGAATTCCCAAAGCACCACCATTCAACCAAGCCCAACAATTTTACTACGGGTCACAATTCCAAGAACAGTGGCATGCTAGACATTCTTTTACTAAATATTAAAAAAAAAAAAAAAAAATCAAACTAATAATACTTGATTATTCTCAGACAGTTCTGTGGCTTGAGCATATTCTAGGTCATCTGAAAAATAGTTTTTTGCAATTTTAAAGTAGTTTTGAAAATGCAGACAGACATAACCACTACACGGTAATGGTTCAAGTAATCATGGTTGACCAAACTGGTGGAAAAAGTTATGCTGTATATAAATGTTAACTATAAAGAGCAAAGTGACATTTAAAAAATGTAATTACAGCCCGGCTGATGTGGCTCAGTGGTTGAGCGTCGACCCACGCACCAAGAGGTCGCCAGTTCGATTCCCGGTCAGGGCATATGCCCAGGTTGTGGGCCCGATCCCCAGTGGGGGGGGTGTAGGAGGCGGCCAGTCAATGTTCTCTCTCATCAATGTTTCTATCTCTTTCTCCCTCTCCCTTCCTCTCTCTCTAAAATCAATAAAGAAAAAATAACAACAACAACAAAAACATAGTTATAACACAATGTAGAAAACAATAAACCTTTAGTTAATCTAAGGTTAAAATTATGCCCAAATCACATGTACATGTAGAAAAGGCTTGAAAAATGAAAAACAAAGATGATCTTTAGAGTGAGTCTGCCTCTATATAACAACTTCAGGAATTCTTATAATAATCCTGTTTGTTCGATACATAAACATCATTTTTAAACACCTGGTTCGCTCTTCACTCGTCATCTGACTGCTGCGATAATCTCATGCGTATTTACTGTCTACTGTCCTCCGTTTGCTCACTGAGGAAATGTACTTACAGTCCTCCGCCAGCCGACCACTTCTGCCTGCTCACTGGGTCTACTGTAAAAGTTTACACACGCAAGTGTAAAAGTGTATGCTCAGCAAAGTCTTCCCAATAAGAACACAAGACAAATGGATTTGCACTAAAAGCTTCTGTGCTACGCTCCTTAGCATATTCAAAACCAGCTTGTTTTCCAGTTCCTGCTGGAAGCATAAGTTTCCTAAAATGACAAAATCCGCCCTGGCCAGCGTGGTTCAGTTGATTGGAGCGCTGTCCCGTGCACTAGAAGGTCAGAGGTTCGACTTCCGGTCAGGACACCTACCTAGGTTACAGGTTCGATCCCTGGTCGATCGATGTCTGTCTGCCTGTCTCTCTCTCATCCCTTCTTCTTCCTACCTCTCTAAAATCAATTTTTTTTAAGCCAAAATAAATGACAAAAGCGTTTCATTAAATTTAATAAACGGTAAACATTACAGAACAGAGAGGTTCTTGGAAAACGTTAGACACTCCTCACAAATGCACCCTCCGACAGTTTTAATGTCCCATGATCTCCTGTCAACTGCTCCCATACCGTGCAGGTAGCTTGGACACTTGCAAACTGGTATTTTCAACTGGACGCTGATTCATCTGGTACGAAAAGCGCTAAAGGAAAACCTGACTTCCTGGCAGTCATCGGAGGAAAACAAAAAGACACCTGTTCTGGGGCAAACAGGACCTGGGAAGGCAGAGGCAGGCTCCTCATACTATGAGTATGTCGGTCTGCTGGTCTCAGAAATAATGCCGGCTCACAAAGCCGCCTCTGGCATTGAACTGACCCCAGATGACCTGAAATGAAATCACTGTCAAGCTTTTTCCAAATCAAGTTATCTCTGAAATAAAATGGGTGGAAAAATGATCTAAACTTAGCCTTTCAGATGTTATGGCCACGAGAGATGTACCCATATGACGTTCGTATTATCCGTAATAAATGCTATCAGGGACTCTGTAACGTTTTTATGTCTGGCAACAACTTCATCTTGAAGGACTTGAGTGGATTATAAAATCTTGATTTCTTTAGTGATCTTTTTACCAAACAACTATCGATTTAAATATAGCGGCACTGTCAGCACTCATTGAAAAGTTGTGAAAAGGCTTTTCTCTGAGTGGATCTTATTCTCCAGCAACAATATCAGAAGCTACTTTGCTCAGTTTTATAAAATTTAACCAACAAACCTATAACATTAAACAGATGAATTTCCTTTCATGCCAGGAAAATGTAGTTCTGGTTGTTACATATTTCTGTATCTGCGATGTGTCTGTGTATCTTTGAGTATTTCAAAAAAACCTGGCTGCCCTGCCCGGTTTAGCAGCGGTTAGAGCGGTCCAGAGAGACCCGGGTTTGGTTCCCGCTAAGGGCACGTACCTCGGTTGCAGTTTGTCCCCGGCCCTGGTTGGGTCGTGCGGGTGGCGACCACTCGATGTGTCCCTTTCACATCGATGTTTCTCTCTCTCTCTCTCTACCTCCCACTCTATCTGAACAAAAATATCGAAAAATGTCCTCGGGTGAGGATAAAACTAAAAACAAAAAAACCTGGCCAAATCCAATGAAAACTTCTGTCAGCCTCCTAATGCTACGACCCCAATACTACCTCTGCATCTATAAGCAGAAACACTGACTACTGCTAAAACTGCTTCACTTACAGGCTTTGCAATCCCTGAGGGAAGCATTTTTGTCTTAAATACAGCGAGGTTCACAGGGGGGAGGCTCTGAGGGCACAGAACCCTCACAATGGAAACGCTCCCTTACCATGAGCTGCTGCTGGATGTTCGTAAGTTTCAGAATGTGCCCGGTGCAACTGTCCGCAGGAAGTGGGGGTTCGGGATGTGACTGGGACCCCGAGGTTAAAGTGTAGACGTCCAGCTCTCGATGATGCCTCACAGAACAGTCTCCACACGGTATTTCGTAGGATAAACTGCTCCAGGAATCGGGCTCTCCGGAGTTCTCCCTGCAAGCAAGTCACGTGTGGTTAGTACAGGGCACGGGCTTCACCGTCTCGGTCCTGGGCGGTATGACGACCCGACTGCTCCTCGAGGCCCCGTCCCAGAAGACTGGTTTGGACAATCCCCCGGATTCGGGCATATGACTAACTGTTCCATCCTTCTCACAAGAGGCCACAAACGGCTTAAATAAAAACTATAGGATTGCCCGGCTGGTGTGGCTCAGTGGTTGAGTGTTGACCCTGCACCAAGAGGTCAGCAGTTCGATTCCCGGTCAGGGCACATGCCCAGGTTGTGGGCCTGATCCCCAGTGGGGGGGCGTGCAGGAGGCGGCCAATTGATGCTCTCTCTCATCGATGTTTCTGTCTCTCCCTTCCTCTCTCCCTAAAATCAATAAATATTTTTTTTTTTATCCTCACCTGAGGACATTTTTCCATTTTTTATTCAGACAGAGCAGGAGGGAGAGAGAGGAAGAGAGAGAGAGAAACATCGATGTGAAAGGGACACTTCGAGTGGCTGCCACCGCACCACCAACCAAGATACGTGCCTTTAGCGGGAACCGAACCCAGGACTCTCTGGACCACAGGCCGATGCTCTAACTGCTGCACCAGACTGGCCAGGGCAATAAAGGAAAAAATTTTTTAAAAAGCTATAGGATTCCTCCTTAAGGGTGTCATTTTGATCCAAATAAAAAGAATTCTGAGTTCCTAAAATAGTTAATGTTATGCTAATAACCAAATAATGAGGAAATGTGAGGAGGATGGTTTTCAAGGCAGGAAGGCTTATTAAGTGTCTCTCTTAAAACAGGTTACACCACACACTGTTATACTGAGAAGGAAAGAACCATTCTCTCCGCCACGCAAGCAGGAGCACTCGTGAACAGCAGGGGGAGGAAGCAGCTTCAAAATCCTCACCTACACAGAGAAAAGCCACCACCATGCTGTATCGCGTCATTCTTGTCAACAGATTATCAGATCCTATTTTGAATGAAGCACTACATTCCAAGAACTTCAACTTTTGTTTTCATTAAAAGGCAGGCCACCACTCAACTCACATCATTACAAACAGACCTCACAGACAAATCAGCCCGACGAAGGCATGGAGATGTGAAAGACCACTTCTGAGCTAGCCATCAAAACATAAAATCTCTTTGTGGTTCTCTCTACGAAACCAGTAGAGTGGTAACGCATCCCAGAGATTCTGGAGAAGGAAGAAGGTTCTGTTTGAGATCACTGTCATATTTTAAAATGGAAGAAACTAATGAATTAAGAAATAAGAGACACATTACCCATTGATAAACAGGAGAGAGAAACATCACTTCAGTGTTTTGTCTACGAAATCATACCTGCCTGTCATTAATGATTCACCAGAGATAAGTGGAACTTGAAAGCTAAAGTATACTAGAGTGGAGAGTGTGTAACAAATTGGAGAACCATGCACTGGCTGAAGGTAACAATTCAGGCTGCTCCAAAAGAAAAGTCCTGTAGTGTCCACACTCAAGAGTGACTTCCACCCTGGCTGGTTTGGCTCAGCGGTTAGAGCGTCGGCCTGCAGTCCTGAGAGACCCGGGTTCAGTTCCCGCTAAGGGCATGTACCTCGGTTGCAGTTTGTCCCCAGCCCTGGTTGGTTGTGCAGGTGGCAGCCACTCGATGTGTCCCTTTCACATTGATCTCTCTCTCTCTCTCTCTCTCTCTCTACTTCCCACTCTATCTGAATAAAAATGGGAAAATGTCCTTGGGTGAAGATAGAAAAAAAAAAAAAGTGACTTCCCAACAGCTGCTTAAAATGAACTTAGCAGAAGGCGTGCTAAATGTTTTGTGTATTTACCAAGCTGCTGTAACCTTAGTGAAGTGACTTCAAGAAGAAAAGTACCTATGAGACAGTTAACTTAGAGTTCAACTGAATGACTCAAGCAGTCAATCAGCTATATCGTATGTGGGGGTGGCAAACTTCTCTGTGAATTGAACTTTGACACTGGGTTTGACAGTGTCACTAACTCTGCTTAATTAATTGCCTGGCAGACATTACTGGCGTGTCTGCTTACTCAGGTTAGCACACAGGCACACTCCAGTAAGAAAAAGCCTTTAACCCTGGCCAGTTTGGCTCAGCGGTTAGAGCGTCGGCCTGCGGTCCAGAGAGACCCGGGTTCGGTTCCCGCTAAGGGCACGTACCTCGGTTGGTTTGTCCCCGGCCCTGGTTGGTTGTGCGGGTGGCAGCCACTTGATGTGTCCCTTTAACATCGATGTTTCTCTCTCTCCCTCCCACTCTGTCTGAACAAAAAAGGAAAAATGTCCTCAGGTGAGGATAAAAAAAAGAAAAAGAAAAAGTTAACCACCCCTACTTACCACCCCTACTAACCACCATTCAGAGGCTGTTGTCAAGGCAGAAACAATTAAAAAGTGGTAACAGCCCATATCCAGCAAAATTAGTTTCCTACTAACCTTGCCACTATTAATTTTCAAACCTTTCCCTTTCTAATATCTAAACCTACGGCAATTCCCTTCTGTAACCTATTTACCACCTTACTTCCCCCATTCTCTCCTTCCAGAGAGATGTACTTTTTGTTGTTGGTGTTAATCCTCACCCGAGGATACTTTTTTCATTGCTTTGTAGAGAGAGTGGAAGGAAGGGAAGGAAGGAGGGAGGGAGGGAGGGAAGGAGGGAGAGAAGGGGGGAGGGGGAGACAGGGAAGGAGGGTGAGAGAGAGAGAGAGAGAGAGACATCAATGTGAGAGACACACTGGTTGCCTCACCCATGTCCCCCAATCAGAGCCAGGGATCGAACCTGCAACCCAGGTACATGCCCTTGACTGGGAATACAAACCTTTGACCCTTTGGTCTGAAGGTCAACGCTCTAACCGCTGAGCACACTGGCCAGGGCAGAGAAAGGTACTTTCGTTGCCACAACTACCCCCAGTGCTAACCTTCCAGTCTCCCAGTTCCCTGTCTCCGTGGCTTTTTCTTGCTTCCCAGCCCGTCTAGAGACCAAAGACTGTCCATGGCGACCGCTCTCCTGCTGCCTTCCATGAAGAGTGACACTTCCCACATCTACCTAGTCTGCAGCTCTGGATTAGCCCCGTCCCTTCAGCAGCATTTACACGCAGGCGCTATTCTAGGTTCGGTGATACAGACCAAAATCCGTGTCCTACAGGAGCGCCCATACTTAGCAAGGGCACCAGACCATCCAAGTTCAATAAAACACCTGGTATTATGGAAGACAGCAAGAGCTCCGGAGAAAAATAAAGCAGACATAAGAGTTGCAGTTTGAAACGGGGTGGGTCAAGGAAGACATCACTGAGGAGACATTGAAGCCAATACATTTTCTGTTCTGTGTTCAGCACTGTAGAAACCTTTACTGGGTCCACTAGTAAAATCCGGCAAAGCTCTCTGTATGAGACTATTCACTGCAACTTTAATAGTATCAAAAATTTGAAACAAACTAACCAAGACAGTAATTAGCGGGCAGTTTGTCCAATTAAAGAACAGACCTACAGACTATTATGTTTCCATTACAAAATAACTGAAATAATAGTTTAATAACAAAATCTACAATATTTACCAAAATAAGCAAAATAATGGATTAAAAAAGGAGAAACATCAGTAACAAATAAATAAATAAATAAATAAAATCAATAAATACTTTTTAAAAATCAGAAGAAAAAAAAGCAAAATAAGGGTTAAAAATGTAGGCGACTGGAGACAGTACACTGCACAAATAAGTGTTAGGGTAGTTGAGTTTTACATTTTCTTCTTCCTCAGATTTTAATGTTTGGTTGTGTTGTGTTGTTTTGTTAATCCTCACCAGAGGATATTTTCCCACTGATTTTTAGAGAGAGTGGAAGGGAGAGGTGGGGGGGAGAGAGAGAGAGAGAGAGAGATGTGAGAGAGACACATCGATCGGTTGCCTCCAGCATGACCCCCACTGGGGATCAGGCCCATAACCTGGGCATGTGCCCTGACCAGGAATCGAACTGGCAACCTCTTGGTGCGTGGGTCGGCGCTCAACCACTGAGCCACACTGGCCGGACTGAACACTTGTATCTTAACCATTAAAATCATTTTCATAGTACACATATTCCCTAAAAGGGTCTGCATATATTAGAGACTCCAGAAGGTATTTATTGCCTAAGTATACACAGAATCATAACTTACATTGTATAAGCTTAAAATGCAAATCTAAATCCTATGAAATAGGAAATTGTGTCTACATGAGGCAATTACAAAAGTGCTATTTCTCAGTATACAAAAATGTATCAGGCTCTATATGAATACTCGCTTTAAAATGTTCACATAGCCCTGGCCAGTTTGGCTCAGCGGTTGGAGCGTCGGCCTGCGGTCCGGAGAGACCCGGGTTCGGTTTCCGCTAAGGGCATGTACCTCGGTTGCAGTTTGTCCCCGGCCCTGGTTGGTCATGCGGGTGGCAGCTACTTGATGTGTCCCTTCACGTCGATGTTTCTCTCTCTCTCTCCCTTCCTCTCTCTCCCCCCCACTCTATCTGTACAAAAAATGGAAAAATATTCTCGGGTGAGGATAAAAAAATAATAAAAATAAATAAAATGTTCACATAGGTCTTTTTCTGTTATTGATAAAATTTCTCCAAAATACACTGAAGAAAATAACACCACAGGTAGTATGCCATTGTATTAAAAATGAATTCTACCTGGCATTTGGTCTTCTCTCTGTTTTTCTTAAGTTCATATTTCAAGATATCTCAAACTGTCCAGAAAATGAATGGTCTAGGTTATAAATTTATTCATTCAAACATTCAACAAATACATATGTGGTTGTCTATGATGCTCCCAGGTGCTAGGAATCCATAGATGGATAAATAAGACAGCCAAGGTACCAACTATAATGGAGCTTATGTTATAGTGGGGTACCATTACAAGTCGACTATAATGGAGCTTATGTTATAGTGGGGTACAATTACAAGTCGAGATAAGTGCTCTAAAGAAAATAAGTCGGTGCTTATGGAAGAAAATTCCTTGGGATGGGATGGCGTCTTCAGA